CCATAGGGGACCGCGTATTCTACTACAGCACGCACAGGTAAACAGTCAGAAGGTACGCGGAGTACAAGGACAGAGTACTCCGCGGACGAGCCAGACGCACTCGACCAGACTCCACGCCGTCGAGAGTGACGCTGTTAAATAATTAATTCAACCTCCGTCACAGATGGCGTCCGCGGCGGCCGCGCCGCGAGCGCCGCTCGTCGCGTCTGGGCCGCGTCCGTCGCCGCGGCCGCGCGACGGCGACCGCCGCCGCGCCCCCCCCCGCCCCCGGCGCGGCGTCCTCGTCGTCGAGTGCCGCAACCGCATCCTCTTTCGCGAGGACGAGGTCTCGCGTCGACCCGACGGCGTCGCGGCGGCGCGCCTCGCGCGCGACGATCCTCGCGCGACGCACGTCCGCGACGTCCTCAAGCTCGCGCTCGGGGACACGCTCCGCGTCGGGGTGATCAACGACGCGCCCGCGGTCGCGACGGTCGTCGCGGAGGGAGGGGGGGACGACGCGACGCTCGCGCTCGAGTGGCGCGCGCGACGCGACGACGACGACGACGACGACGACGACGACGACGCGCGCGACGCCTCGCGGCGCTCGATCGCAGACGGTCCGACGATCGAGCTCCTGCTCGCGTGCCCGCGACCGAAGGCGTTGCGACGGATGTGGACGTCGCTCGCGCAGCTCGGCGTGCGCGTCGTGACGATCACGCCGGCGTGGAAGGCGCGTCTCGTCCATCTGATCCAGGCTAACAACAACGCCGGTCCCCGCGCGCGTTCACGTCCGCCCACCCCTCGGTTCGGTTTCAATTCCGACGCGCACGCCGCGACGCCTGCCTTTCGACTTCGTCTGACGCCTTTCAACGCCTTCCTTTCAACGCCGCGCGCGAAGACGCCGAAGGACTACTTCGGCGCGTCGTCGCTCCTCTCGCGCGAGACGGTGGAGTCGGGTGCGTTCTGCGAGCGTCCACACGTGTTTCACCCACCGCTCGGGTTCAACGGTTGATCGCGTCCCCTTTCAACTGACCGACGAATGCAACGCACTTTTTGCGCTCGGCACGGCCCGCAGAGCTGCGACGAGGGATGGAGCAGGCGGGCGATTGTATCATGCCGGGGGTGAGGGTCGCGAGCGGGTTCCGCGACGCGTTGGACGCGGTGAGCGGACGCGACGACGACGGCGGCGGCGGCGGCGGCGGCGGCGGGATGCGATGGCTCGTGGATCCGCCGCCGCCGACGCCGACGACGCCGACGCCGCCGCCGCCGCCGCCGCCGACGGCGCGTCTGATGGCGCATCCGGGCGCGAAGGCGAGCCTGCGCGACGCGCTCGTCGCGTGCGGCGTCCGCGTCGACGACGGCGACGAAGAAGACGTCCGAGTCCTCGAGGATCGACGTTCGACGCGCGAGGGAGTTCGCACGGAACGCGGTCTCGACGCGCCGCCGTCGCCGTCGCGGGCGCGGGCGCCGGCGCGGATCGTGATCGCGGTGGGCCCCGAGGGCGGGTGGACCGACCGCGAGCGCGCGTCGCTGATCGACGAGGGCGGGTTCGAAGAGTTCGCGATAGGTGCGTTCTATACACTGGTCCCCATACGACCCCGTTGGCGTGGTGAACGCCGATCCTTAAGGACTTTGCCCGTCGCATCTCTCCGCCCACCCCTCGCGTTCAATCCCCGACCGCGACGCCTTTGAACTCCGTCTGACGCCTTTCAACTCCACCCCTTCAACTCCACCTGACGCGATAGGGAACCGGACGTTCGCGGTGGACGTGGCGACGGTGGCGATCGTCGCCGCGGTGCGCGAGCGCGTCGGCGCGTGGTGACGCCTCGATTGGACGCGTGGTCTAGCTAGCAGTAGATACCTTCGGTACGAGTACAAGGCGAACGCTGTAAGCGCGATATCGAGGCGGCAGAAGCATCGTCGCCGCCGCCGTGAGCTACAATGCCAGGCTCAACTACGCCTTCCATGCTGCGCGAAATCGTTTCCCATTCGTCCGCCGAGCGATATGAAACGTACGATTCCATTACTGTACGTGTGCGGCGACTGATACTCGTACTGTACAGTAGTCTCGTCGGGACACAACCGTATTCGTCTCCTTTCGATTTCATCGGCGGTGCGGTTTCGCGCGACGTTTTCACCGGCACTTTTTCGAGGGCCGGCCTCGATGAAAGAAACCTCGATCGAATCTCCGCTGACGTGGAAAAAGATCTCCGTGACGAGGACGGGCGTTTTCGCGCGAGCGACGCGGGCGTCGCACGCCCGCGCGCGCCGCGCACTTCCCTCGACGCGCGCGTCGAGCGAACGGACGACGACGACGCCGACGACGACGTCGACCGCCGACGACCTCCCGACGGGCTCGCTCGAGCGATTCCTCGTCGCGCACCTCGAGTTCGCGTCTCGCGCGCTCGAAGAAGCCAATAATCGTTCCGACGTCTCCGCCTCTCGGCGTAACAACGACGACAGCGAGAGACGACGCCGCCGACCGACGATGCGACCCGACTGCTCCAACTTCAACCTGAACCGGGGGATCCCCGAGCAGCTCGACGCGTCGGACACCGCGCCGCCGCCGCTGCCGCCGTGGCTCCGCGGCTTTCTCGTCACCGCGCGCAAGCGCGAGCACGCGGCGGTCGCGGGCGAGGAGGTTGCGTCTCTGTGCGACGACATCTTCCTGCGCGAGATCGACGGCGTCGGCGGCTCTCGAGAGAAAACGCCGCCGGCGGGGAAAAGAAACGCCCGTTCGACGCGCGTTTTCGCGGAGTCGTTACTCATCCCCGGCTGCCCCGGCAGCGTCTTCGTCGCGATCAAACCGGACGACGCCGACGTCGACGTCGTCGCGCTCGCGGAAAAAATAATCGAAGACGTCGACGACGACGCCGCGCGCGCGGACGTGTGTTGGTCGCGCACCGCACACGCGCAGCGCATAATCCCGGTCGAGCGCATCGCCCCGGAGTACGACCTCGAGCGGCTCGCGAGGGAGGTGATCGCGAAGAAGTTCCCCGCCCGCGGCAGGGCGACGGACCGCGGACCGCCGCCGACGTTTAAGGCGCGTTCTAGTACCGAACTGGTTCCCATACGACCGCGTCCGCGCGGTGAACGCCGATCCTCAAGGACTTTCTCTCCCGGCGCGTCTCTCCGCCCATCACGCCTCGCTTTCAATCCCGACACACCTCGACGCCTTTGAACTCCGCTTCTGACGCCTTTGAACTCCACCCCGACAATCGCTCGTGTGGACCCTCGACCCTAAGGTGAGCTACGAGGAGCACTCGCCCGCGGAGCACCTGCACAAGATGGAGACGGAGAAGATGGTCGCGGACCTCGTCCCGGACCACTACGACGTCCGCCTTCACGACCCGGACCTGACGATCTTGGTCATCGTGGCCGGCGGCAGCGCGATGCTCGCGGTGACGCGCGGGTACGACGCGTCGCAGAAGTTTCACAAGTTTCACGTGCGCGCGCGCGACGCGGCGAGGAAATCGAGACATCCGAAGCATCCGTTCGCCGCCGTGCACGCGTTCGCGGAGAAACACGGCGGGTTCGCCGCGTGAGGTGAATCGATTCGGGCGATTTAATTCGTCCGCGCGCGAGAACGAACGATGTCCTCTTTCCGCGCGCTCGGCGACGCGCCGCGAGAAGATACAAGACCGAAGAAGACAGGAAGAAGACAGGAGGACGACCCTCGAGACGCGCGGTGATATCAGCTCGCGGCGGGCCCTAGGAAGCACCTCGTAAGATGCGACACGTACGTCGCAAGGGAGGACGCGGGGATGAGTGCGTACCTGTCGTGCGACTGTAGCGCGCGTGACTTGTTGACGAGAGGTATCTATCTGGTCGCGAAGCTGCCTACAACTTACCTTCGTACGTTAGTGGTTTAGCTGCCTACAACTTCATATTTTCTTTGTTCAACACAGGTAGCCCTACACGTGTACACGTACGTGTACTGTACGTGTAGTGTACGAAAGTACTTTCGAAAGTACCTTCGTACTGTACACGTGCGTACGAAGGTACCTTCGAAGGTACCTTCGTACGAACTGATATCTACAGTACTGCACGTCACGTGTACACGTACTCGCGGATAAGATTCCGCACTTTTTGTCCGCCTATCATATTTTTGTAACTGTTTTGATCTGTGCTTCCGAGCACTCGACGCCGCCGCGGTTCTCGGACGGTAAGAGACCTCACACTCCCCGCGGAGAGAGACGAAAAAAAACCAGCTCGACATGCCGCTCACCGGCGAGGCGGCGCCGCTGCTGGCGCGCGACTCGAAGTGTCCAAACAAAGTCCGATCGTGGCGAATGGCGGCGCTGACGACGTCCGCGGTCGCGACAGTGCTCGCCACGGTGCTTCTGTCGACGACGTCGTCGCCGGTCTCGAGTGTGCTCGATCTTGGCCGCTCGAGCCTCGGACAGAACGACGCGAACGTCACGCCGATCTCGACGGATAACGTCCCGAGCTACGGCGACGAGCACGAGTATCAGGCGTCTCTAGGCCCGGCCTCCCCGGCATCGCTGGGAGCCAAAAAAAAAAAAGCCAAAAAAAAAGCCAAAAAAAAAGCCAAAAAAAAAAACGTGGCCGGCCCACCTCCTCCTGACGCGCTGCCGCCGCCGCCGCCGCCGCCGCCGCCGCCGCTCGTAAACGTCACCAAACCTGGCATATTACAACGCATCAAGAATACGGCTGCAAAAACGGCTGCTTGGGCCAAGGATAAGGTCGTTGAACAGGTTCAGGACCCAGAGAATCAGAAAAAGGCCTTTGACTTCCTCAAGGATCATGCCGTGGACTACTTTACGAAGGAATCTCCTACTGACCAGTCAACGTCTGCATCTACTGATCCTGAACCTGATCCTGAACATGAACCTGAACGTGATCCTGATCCTGATCCTCGCCCATCGCGCGCGCGCGCGCGCACACACACACACACACACACATACACACGTACACCCAGCGAGGAAGTTGGGCGTGGGCTTGCAGAGCGCGTCGGACACACGAATGTTGCATCTACAGTTTCAGCTCGTGAACCCTTTCAAGAAGGAGGATCTGGACACTTTTTCACTCCAAATCACACTCGGAAGAAGAACGGGGTCGATGGTGAAAGACTCCCGAACCGGGGCATCGACTTCCTCGGCATCGGCTACGATCTCCTGAACGGCAACCCCCACGGCGATGTAGACACCCCGATTGACCCGGGCTTCCGCGCGCCGGTCGTGAGCCTCACCTATTGCGAAGGGGATGATACACAGTGCGCCACCCGGGACCTCCGCGACCTACAGCCCATCGAGGGTTGGGATCTGCCGGAATTCGCTTGTACCCAGGCAGAGTCCACCTCGCACATTTCCAACATGGAGGACTACACGTCCGAGTTGAAAGCATCTGCGAGCGTCGAAGCTGGCTACGATGGCGGGATCTTTGGCTCTGCGTCGTTCAAGGGGTCGGCAAGTAGCGACGATTTCGAACGGAACGTGCTGCAGGAGGACAGAGAGAATTACGAAATGACAAGTTACTGCATCGTAAACCGCGTTGGTTTGAAGGGTGGCAACACGACAAGCAACAAGGGGCTTCCCAACTTTGAAAAGAAGGCCAAGGCGTTGCCAATAATTTCCCACAGCAATTGCACCGTGAACTGTACAATCGACATGGACGACTACGGCGCCTGGAACAACTTCTTCACCGAATTCGGGACCCACTTCGTCAACACCTTGACTCTAGGTGGCAGGATGAGCACCACTGTGACAATGGATTCGAAAGCAACGCGTAAACTGGAGGAAAAGAATGTGGACGTCGCAATGATGGTGAAGGGGGAATACGGCCCTGTTTCGGCGTCCGTGGAGGCGTCGGCCTCCTCGGACAAGTCGTCCAAAAATGAGTTCAACGACGCCAAGAAGGATTCTAAGACCATCATAAGCGGTGGCACCCCGCCCAAGTCTCGTGCCGACCCGGAACGCTTTAGGGAGTGGGCGGTCAGCGTACCGGACCACCCCGTGCCGGTCAAGTACACCTTGAAACCTCTCACCGAAGCCAGTCCCAATTTGGACAAGTACACCTACGACATCATGGTCAACGAGTATATGGTTAAGGGAAAAGCCGCCGCCGAGGCACGCAATGGCCACGGCGGAGACTCCGGAAAGCTCAAGACCGGAAAGCTCAAGCCTGGGCAGAAGATCGCGCCTGGCACGACCGTCCTCACCAGCGGCGATGATGGTCTCAAGGATACCGGTGGTAACATGCTCCAACTGTTGAGGGACGGCCGCCTCGTCGTCAAGGACAAATTCAACAACATCCTCTGGGACTCGCTGTCCATAGGCTGGGACTGGGACATACCCCTGTCTGCCCCTGTCTGCCACTACATACTGTCCGACAAAGATGGAGACTGGGGCCCCAAGACAATTCCCGGCTGTGAAACACCCCTCCCCGGCGCGTACACCCTCGAGTACCAGACCAACGGCAACTTGGAGATAAAAAATAAGACTGGCGATCGTATCTGGCATTCGGTAACTGACAGTCTTACGTGCAGCCCCAATGCCCCCCACCATATGAGGTTCGACGATGGCCAGCTATCCATTTTCAATAATAATCGCGAGATAGTTTGGGACACCGCCACGTCAGGTGCGAAGAAGGCCAACGAGGACCAATTCGGTCCTGGGGCAAACAAGTGCATCACAAGTAAAAACTGTGTCACGATTTATGACGACGACGATTTCGGGGGAAATAAGTTGGAGTTAAAGCCCGGCAATTACGACTGGCACTTTTTGGATGATGATAAAGACTTGGACCAAGATGTGAATTCGTTCGAGTTTCCTGGTGGTGATGACGCGCACCGCTGCTATATCTACATGTGGGAGAATGATGGCTACACGGGGAGTAGCCAAGCCGTCACCAAGACGACGAAAAAATGCGGTGAAGAAAATTTAAGAAA